CTGAGTGAACTTTGGATGTTTCAGCAGAACGAACGAAACTCCATTCGATCTGCAGAGTCCCTTTGCACCTTTAAGAAAAAGCTAAAGACCCAGCTCTTTCATAAACACACACGCACTTAATGATATTGATGATGATTGTTATGATGATATCTAGGATGGTTTTGATGCTAATTAGAAATATCAACAACAGCTGTCGATGTTGTGCAGCAACAGAAATGACTGGCTGCAAAGAAATCCAACGTTATAACAAACAAGAAGAAGGAGACGCTTGTTTTTTTTTAGAGAATTTCAGTCTTACACCTGTTTCTGATTAAGTGTTAAGTTCACACCTGGTCTTAGCAAAAAGGCAGCCCTCAGGTCTGACTCAGAATTAAGATGCAGACGACTACAGGCCGCTGAAGACTACATGTTGGTGCAACAAGCCTACAGCAAAGCAGTGTCCTGTTTCTGGTGAAAAATGCCAATAAAGAAAAGCTAATTTTGTGTGTATGTTTTTTAATGCATCTTCAACAACACATCACCAAACAGAATAAACATGAGACTAACACAACACATATGTACGGTATCCAGAAACCAGCTTTAATTGTGTCACTTTACTGTATTTCCCTAAGCCTGTAGTGATGCATGTTTGATGTTGGTTTCCATTTATTGTTCCCATCACCTGACAAATAACTGCAGAGACTACATGCAGCCAGACTTTTGTAAAAAGGCTAAACTATAACTCGTAGGCCCAACAACAAAAGCAGACGTAGTGTTTGCCCAGAGTGACGAATCACCTCAGTTAAACTAGCTCCAAGTCTCTGCACGTCGGGTTTTCATCCTCTGCCGACGTCAGCGCGGCTGCCCGGGAGGGTGAAGAAACAATACAGGGTGCTTTGAAAAAAATGTTCTATAGTAGAGTTTGCATAATATTTAAGGACAAAGCCTTAAGGTGTGTTCATACAAGGTGAGGTCTTGAGAGGGAGAACAGTCCATAGACGCCTCTATAGTGACTGACACATCTGTCTGCCCACGTTTCCTCTCTCTCTACTATCGACTGTTAAATGAAAAGCTAAGAAGAGCAGATGTGGATCTGATCGAGGGCGAGGCGATTTAGCCAAATGTAAGTTCAGAAGAGGACAAATGTTTGGAAAAATTGGAAAAACTTTGTGATTATCCTTAAACTGATTTACTCTGCTTTAATCTAAGAACGATAGAAAGGGGGGAAAGGAGATGCTAGACAACAAACAGCTAAGGCCAGTAGAGTCTGTGAATTTTTAGGGTAATTCTGAACACAAATGTCAAACCTACAGTACATGTTAGAGTTCTACACTACATGTTAAAAAATATGTATAAAGTCTAATGGCTGCCTTGAGTGATGTCATTTGAGTCTGCATTCGTTAAGGGCAGAAGACTTCAAGTTTGACAATGAAATAAACTTCTTTCAGAGAGATGTGAGCTTACCGGACCTTCATAAATTTCCACCAATCTCTGCTTGAGTGCAGGGACTGAAAGCTACCTCAGCCGCTATGCTAGCATAACAGACCCGAATCTCCAACACCGCCGTATGCTGTTGTATTGCATTTTGGGTAACGTACCGTACGCAGCATGTTATGACGAGGAAGAAAAATGGAATAGAATAAGAGCTACAACATCTTTGGTTCTGCTTCATGTCGTACGATTCTTTGGGATCAATCTATCATGTGTCAGATTACGTTTCTGGATGCTACATCCTAGCTCCTGCATTTCTTCAAATGACTCCATCAAGATGTAAAGTTTTGCTTAAAATGTATCAAATTATTCTAAGTTTAATTTCAAAAGGGAGCTCCACATAAAATCTGTCTTATAAATCTACAAGTTAACTAACGGAGTATCAAGAGGCCCCACATGGCGTCCTGATATCGAGGTTGAGACACTCCTTTTTTAATGAAGGGTTGGTCATTTTATCCAGCATATATCATGTTTTAAATTTGTAAAACTGTCTTTAAACCCCAAGAGGAATCAATAAAAAAAGTGCTCTGAAAAAATGACAGAAAAAAGGGCTCTATAGCTGCTGTAAAAACACTGACCTATCATTGCCATGAGGTCCGGTTTGGAAGAGCCAATCAGATGCCTCCCTGGCTGCCTGTGTGTTCTCTACCTTTGTCGTGCACCAGCCCGCACTCAAAGCTCTTCATCTCCGCAGGACAAACCAGAGTAAACATTCATAAAGCTTTTCAGTGACGTCGAAAGATCTAAAACGTGACGCCATGGTTGCCGTCTTTCTGTTACCATATTCTTTTTTTTTTTACATCCAGTATGAGCATGTAAGGTGTTTTCATACCGCTGAATGAGTCATAACATTAACATCAACAAAAGTTGAATGCGATGAGCCGAGGTCCTCTCTCTCCGCTCTGTAAAGGAGCAGTTGTGATCCAGCAACGCTCGTGCATAAGTTTTGGGGGGTGTGGCGCTCAATTTCCAGAATCAGCGACCGTTTTAAAAGCTTTTTGTGATTGCAAGAGCAATTTTGTTCTGGCATATTTGTCTCAAGTCATTTCATCATAAGTGATTTATTTCATATAAATCAACAATGCAGGTTGATTTCACACGATGGGTTGACATTCTGCATTGCATGTGTGTGTGTGTGTGTGTGTTCTTGTACTTCTATCTTTGTGAGGACAAGATTGAGTCTGACATTGATTATGTATTTTTGAGATGTTTCCTGTTGTTCTTTAAATGGCCTTTTGAGTGTTGAGTATAAAGCTAGTGGTTTAGGAAACCAATCAGGTAAATCTCGTGTTACGGTCAGTATAGACCAAAGTACAAATATGTTTCTGTGGTTACCTGATCAGTGAAGGATGCAGGTCACGTCTCCTCGTGTTCTCCTTTGAGTCTTACTCAAACAGCACGGGCACCTGGGAAAATCACCACAAGCAATCACATATGAGTCTGAGTCTGTGTGTGTGTGTGTGTGTGTGTGTGTGTGTGTGTGTGTGCGCAGGAGAGATTGATGCCGTCCAGGCTTTACATACAAACTCCTCCTTCTCTATTTCCTTTTATTTATCAGAGTAACCTGAGAGAAGGTAAATCAGGGCGAGAAAGAATCGTTTCGGCTGATTTGTTGAGTACACATAGGCACATAGGCACACACACACACACACACACACACACACACACACACACACACACACACACACACACACACACACACACACACATACACACAGACACACAAACACACAAACAAACACACCCTGTGAGACCTTTGTCCCCAAGAGAGTGTTGTGACCTTTGTCCCGTGTGGGTTATTGCTCAGTGTTTGTGTGTGTGTGTGTGTGTGTGTGTGTGTAAAAAGAACAAGTCGTACAGATCATATATTTGTATTTAAACATCAACACACTTGCCTAAACTATGTGAAGTATTGTTTTACTTTAGTGATTTTTGTCTACGTTGTGATTTATATAAATTAAGTTTATTTTCGTCATGATTAAGTGTTTACTTAAACTTTTACTCCCTTTGTCTCCAAACCCAATCGCACATTTCACTTTATAATTGAGCAGTAACACCAAGATGATTTACAGTTTCATAGTGATAATCTTGTTTACAATTATTTTGTGTCTTTGGATGACAAAATAAAAAAACAGTTTTGTGTCATATTTGTACAAAATGTCTCAACTGACACTTACATAGAGTATATTTTTTAGTTGTAGTCGATATGACAGAAAACTTGAAAAAATGAATGATCTCAATTGACATATAATATCCTCTTATTGTTTTCTAAAACCTTAAAGAAAATTCAAGTGACCTCAGAAAGTTATGAAGGTGTTTTGATTAGATTTGGATTTAAATTTGTCACTCAGAGGTTTGAATGTGAAATGTTAGGAAAAGTTCATCGACGACTCTTTTAGATGACCCCAGGATGCTGTCTGATTGTTATTCTGCAAATGGATATTTAACAATAACGGGCAAACAAAGTCAGCAACTAACGTACTAAGATTGAAAGAGGTGTGTGTGTGTGTGTGTGTGTGTGTGTGTGTGTGTGTGTGTGTGGTCGGGGTGTCAGACGGCGGTGAGACCTGACCCATCCTCTGATACCGTCAAGCTCTCCTGGTAAACTTCTACCTCCTAATGCAGGAGGTCATAAATAAAGCTCACTGGTGTGTTCAGGTGCAGTTGGTGAAAGACAACGTCGACATTGACTAAAGTAGGACAGTATTTTTACAGAAGCTGCTTTTAGACTTCTGGATTTAAAGAGTTTTAAAGATGAAAAAAAAAACAGAGAGTTAACAACATTCATGTGTAATTCTAGGAGTTTAGATTATAATGGATATTTAAGTTGAACTGAGTTATAGAGGGTAATCAGATCCATTACTTTTGTTAAAGTATGAATTCATGCCAAAACTTCAATAAAAGGGAATATTTACTTTTTAGAAAAATGTGTGTAGTGCAACAATAGTAAGCAGGCTAGATTATTGGCTATAATAATTAAAGATGCACCAACATATGTAAGAAGCATCAAACATTACATTGTAACTGTAACTAAACCATCTGATGTTAACAATTGGGAGTCAAATATATGATCAACTTCAATCACGTCAATTTGCTTAAAATGTATTTCTTAAAAGTTTAAACTGCTGTTTTTTTTTTTGTCAATATTCAAACAATACGTTTTTTTAATTTTCCCAATTTTATAAAGTTGATTTCACTTATTTGTGTATGTTTCTTTCAACACATTGTTCGTAATCTTTGCTTTGTACATACATTTTGGACTATAGCCTGCTGTTGTCTAATAATTGATTATTTGTGGTCATTAATAATAAAGTGTCATGTGTCAGTACTACTGATCCTTTTTTTTTTGAGGAGAGTGCTAAAAGTTCATAAAATGTTACTACTTTTACAATAAAATCTGATTTTTTTTTTTTTGTATTAAACTGAAACTGCTCTGCTCGACGCTTCGTCCATGCGTTCATTTTGTGACATTTCCGACCGCCCCTGAACGCATCAGTCCCTGTGTGTGATGAGGAGGTGCTGCAGCTTCAGACGGACTTTATTCCGTCCTCGCGCTCTGTGAAGGTCGCAGCCACGCGCTTCTGTATTTGACAACGGGGACAAGATTTTCACCTGAAGGAATATTTGTTGTTTTTTTTGTTGTTGTTGTTTTCAGCTGACAGGACACGTCGAACATTTTGAAAAGAAAAAAGTTTGCAGTCATTTGAAAGTTGTTTTCTCATGTTACTGAAGGAGTAACTGGACCCGGGAGGAGACTTCAGGTGGATTTTCACGAGCAGAGACCGGACACTCTCTTCACAACAATTTCATTTAGTTTTCTGGACAGCTTTACCTCATTGTTAACGACTTTTGTAGCATATCTTATAATACGACTTTTGCTTCCTGTGGGGGAACACGCACTGCTTGCAAAAATGTTACAGGGTCGTTAAATTGATTAGAACGTGCAGCACCGGAGATGAACTTTCTCCGTAATGATTGCGCGAGCCTCACTGAATGATTGACAGCAGGCTCGACCTGTTGCACTTTGGACCTTTTGTGGATTTACTACCTGGAGCTTCACTTGTTTTGTTTTTGTCATAAAAAAAGGCTGAAAAGTTGATTTTTTTTTTCTCTTGGAGAAGAATCAAATTTGGACATCATGCATCACGTTTCGTTCGATGAACTTATATGAAAAGCTCCAATTTGACTTTTCCTGTTTTATTGACTATAAATAAGTAATCTTGGTCATTTATATTCATGGCATCTACAGTGAGGCACGCGCGGCTCCTCCTGCTGCTCCTGCTGCTGTACTGGCCTCTTGGTCTCACCTCAGGAGCCTCCAAAGACCTGGTGTGTGAGCCCATAACTGTTCCCATGTGCAGGGGCATCGGCTACAACCTGACCTACATGCCTAACCAGTTCAACCACGACACCCAGGAGGAGGTAGGGCTGGAGGTGCACCAGTTCTGGCCCCTAGTCCGAATCCGCTGCTCCCCAGACCTGCTCTTCTTTCTGTGCAGCATGTACACCCCGATCTGCCTGCCGGACTACAGGAAGCCCCTGCCGCCGTGCCGCTCCGTGTGTGAACGGGCCAAGCGAGGATGCTCCCCTCTGATGAGCCAGTACGGATTCGAGTGGCCGGAGCGGATGAGCTGTGAACAGCTGCCCCAGCAGGGTGATGACGTCCTGTGCATGGAACAGAACAGCAGCGAGACCACCACCCTGGCTCCGCTGTTCCCCAAGCCTACTTCTAAAAGTCGGACCAGAACCCTGAGTGCTCCCCAGTGTGACAGGGAGTGCCACTGTCGAGATCCCCTTGTTCCCATCAAGAGGGAGTCCTACACTCTGTACGGCCAGGTACCGACCGGCCCCCTCCCCAATTGCGCCCAGCCCTGCCACCAGCCCTACTTCTCAACCGACGAACGCGCCTTCACCAGCTTCTGGATTGGACTATGGTCGGTGCTGTGCTTCGTCTCTACCCTGACCACCGTTGCCACCTTCCTCATTGACATGGAACGCTTCAAGTACCCCGAGAGACCCATCATCTTCCTGGCTACTTGCTACCTCTTTGTCTCTTTGGGGTACATCATCCGCCTGGTGGCCGGTCACGAGCGAGTGGCATGTGGCGGTAGCAGCAGTGTTTCCAGCGACCAGCTGCACATCCTCTACGACACTACCGGCCCCGCGCTCTGCACCCTCGTCTTCCTGTTGGTGTACTTCTTCGGCATGGCCAGCTCCATCTGGTGGGTGGTTCTGTCCTTCACCTGGTTCCTGGCTGCGGGGCTCAAGTGGGGCAGTGAGGCCATCGCGGGATACTCTCAGTACTTCCACCTCGCCGCCTGGCTCATCCCGAGCATCAAGACCATCGTGGTCCTGGCCCTCAGCTCTGTCGACGGGGACTCTGTGGCTGGAATCTGCTACGTGGGGAACCAGAGTTTGGAGAACCTGAGGGGATTCGTGCTCGCGCCTCTTGTGGTGTACCTCTTCACCGGCTCGCTTTTCCTACTGGCTGGATTTGTTTCTCTCTTCCGCATCAGGAGCATCATCAAGCAAGGTGGCACCAAGACGGACAAACTGGAGCGGCTGATGATCCGCATCGGGCTTTTCACGGTTCTGTACACCGTCCCTGCAACCATTGTGGTGGCCTGCTTGGTCTACGAGCAGCACTACCGGCCCGGTTGGGAGCGAGCCCTGGCCTGCATGTGTCCGTCCGAGCGTCAGCGTTTGGGCATAGGCCCGGACTATGCCGTGTTCATGCTCAAGTACTTCATGTGTTTAGTGGTGGGCATCACCTCAGGGGTCTGGATTTGGTCAGGAAAAACCCTGGAGTCCTGGAGGAGATTTGTAGCTCGATGCTGCCCCTGTTGGCCGCAGAAAGCCACTGCACCCCCATCCATGTACAGTGAAGTCAGTACTGCTTTAACTGGACATACTGGGACTGGGCTTTCATCAGGGATCTACCATAAAGCTGCTCCATCACATATATGAACTGACTGGCACCAGGAAATGTTGTAAAGTCTGTACAGTCGCCTCTCTGAACACTCAGTGATGAACTTAAATATCAAAACAACAAGAGTGTGAGTATGGACAAACATCTGCAGGACAACGTGCTCGTGTACCGCTCTGTGTTTTAAAGAATGATCATGAGCATAGGTAGAAAAATGCACCAAATAATCCAGAGTCTAAAAAAGGGAAAAAAACAACCTGGATAATAGGGATTTAAAATAAGAAGAATATTTATAAAAGAGCCTGACTTTTTGGGGAAACTGACTCCAATTATTGAAACATTACATTGAAACATATTACCGGAAAAAAAAGAACAATCTTCAAAACCTCAGAATAACACGGATCCATAAAGGAAATATCTTTTATCCTGAGCACTGAGAGAAAAAAAAAGACATATTTATTGATGTATATAGTGTATGAATTTGCTGTAAAAATGAATAAATTAGGTGTAAAGTACTTGTACTTTTCAGTTTCCAAACAACCAATGTCACTGCCACAAGCTGGAGTAAGAAAAACCAATCTTGTGTGATTGTATAAACTTGTACATAAATGTGCCGTTTCATGTCAGTGTTTTTGACTTTGATATCAGGTGACTGCTGTGTGATCACAAAGTGAACATTTGTCTTTGTTTAGGTTCTTTAGACGTCGAAGTGAAACAGATTTATTTTTTATAACTGATAATATTATCTGTTGTCAGGCTGCATCACATTTAAAAACCACTAAAGTCTGTTTCAGAAGAGTGAATTTGTTCGGTCCATGTTGTTTGAACTAACAAGACTGATCAGGTTAAAGCTGCAGGAAGATGAATAAGAGTGGCTTTGACCCCTCCTGCTGGTGAACAGTGGACCTGCAGATCAGTGTTTCGACCACAGACCTTCACCTGGATCACATTTTGATCCAAAATTTGTATTTTATTAGAAAAGCTGGTAAGAGGGAAATCTTCCTTAAAAAAAAAAATCACATCATTATTTTTTAATTATTTCAATGTTGACAACTCGGTCCTCCCAGACACAACGTCAAAGGCCTTTGAAAAGGTCCCTGGACCTCACTTTGAGAACCTCTGCTTTATGTTTCCAGTACTTTCATACCATGGGCCCTGAACAGGCAGATGTTGGTAAATAATTTGTTAACATGATCAACAATTTCCATCTATAACTAAGAATTGAGGCAACATTAACTTCAATTTTTGGAGATGACACACAAACCATTTATGTCAGTGCTGCCTTCAAACACATCAGGATTTGTTACTTTTGAAATATTGCAAACTATTTTTTTTCCGTGGTTTGGCAGCTGATTGGACAAAAGAAGTGTTTTTAAATGTCAGCTTTGGACGTTTGTCACATTTTTTGACAATCAACCAGCATGAATGGGCATCTTGAAGGTCATTTTAAATCTTAGCAGCAGGGATCTGTGGTCTACTCTTCAACATGTAAACTTCACTGGACACTGACTTAAAGTACTAAAAGTCAAACTGTCTCAGAGTGAATTTAAAAGATAGAATGTGTTTAAAAATGTTTGACATGTTGTGATATGTAAAACATTGAGGCTTTTTATTTTGCTCCGTCTCCGTGCTGTGATGTTTTGATTCAATGTTGATGTCCAGCTGTGTTTCTAAAGACTTCTGCGTCTGCATGCTAGATGATACCTCTAATTTATTAGCCTGATTTGAGTGAGTGACTGTGATTGTGTGAGTGATGCAGAATGAAGTGTTGGTCAAAACTGGCATTTTAGTGATTTGTTTACATGTAACTCTGTTTTCATATTGATAGAACTCCTCAAAGGATATTAAAGTATTGTAGAGTTGGATCCATTTTGTGGAATTAAAACTGACCTGAGCCTGAGTGTTTGCCTTTTTTTTACGTTTATGTGCTTTTGTATGAAAGGACTTTTTTAATTTTTGGCTTCAACAGCTTTTTGTTCTATCTTCAATGGTGGAGGTGTACAAGAAGAAGGATCTGTGGTTTCCTTATTAAACTGTACTAAATAAGAAGAACATGTTCTTTCAATAGCTTCAGTTAAAATCTCCACTAAACAACAGTTGGGACTGTTTGGAAGCCTAAATATAACAACTCAAATGGCTCTAAAACAAGCTTCTTAGATCTTTGATAGTACAACTTCTTAAACTTCCAATAGTTTTACTGACCTGTGCTCCTCAAATGCACCCCCTGGTTCTTGATGCTCCATATGTAATAGCCTCACAGACCAGAATACAATGTAACAATACTCACTCACTCCTATTTATCTATTAGTAAAACGTAAATTATGATTTTGGAGAAATCTTTGCAAGTATTAAAGGCTGCAGGACAGTGGATAAAGTCGTAAACCAGGGAGAGAGGGAGGAATGACATGACAGTAAGAAGCAACAGGTCGAACCAGCGCCGGGGTTTAATGATTTTATTTTTTGGCTTTTTATGCCTTGATTGGAGAGACAGGACAGTGTACAGAGTAGAGAATTAGGCTGAGAGAGAGAGTTGGGAATGACATTCGGGATACAGGTCGGATTCAAACCGGGGGGACGCCTGCTTCAAGGACTACTGCATCCGTACATGGTGGCACGCAAACTAGCTTGAATAGATATTTATGGGTAAAATATGAAAAGGTACCCCACGTAGCAGATATGACACCAGAGAGGTAACTAAAGGACGGCAATTCAAAGACAACATGTCAACATGTCAACGTCACTGTTTCATTTCAAAACTAAAAATCAACCCCGACACCACTTGGCATCTAACTGCAATGTGCAGCGCACAAAGGCCTCATGGTGGAGTGACGTTTTTCCGCTGCTGATCATCAGACACCTTACAAGGCCACACAGGTCAAACAAATAAGACAATTACCACAACGTTTCTTTGTTACATGATTAGTGTTTATTTAAAATATTCCATCTGCAAATATTTTTTTTTTTTTCTCAATTAAAAACAAGACAAATTTCACAGCTAGTAGCCTACATAGTAAGCAAAAAGGAGGGGAGTATCCATCAGTCTCTTTTCGACCTTCAGTGACTATGTAGTTTGTTCAAAAGCTCTGCTCAGGGCCTGGGACAAGCACGGACTTAGTAAATCAGTTTCAGGGCTCTTTGAGGCGAGGATGGCAGGATTTGAGGGACTAAATACTGAGGCCGAACCCTCATCTCAATACTATGGCAACCCAACTGCTGTACCCAGCCACTGAGTAGCAATACTGATCCAGAATCTGTAAATCACAGCTATCTGATGTGTACCTGAAAGTGAAACTGATCCCAGATTGGCACTCCTGATTAACTGCAGGCTGATGGTTTTGTTTACTTCACTCCTGTGGAATATTTATAGTTCAATACTTAATCTGAGACATGCTGTATGATCCATTCAAATTGAAAATGTTGAGATCATTCACTTAAAAATAGAATCCCATACTGCTGGAACTAACTGTAAACAAGTCTTTTTTTAATTCTCTCATTAGAAGGGGTGTCACAATTTGGATTTTCAATCAAAAGAAGGTGTTGCTTTTGGATCTTAGAATTAAAAAACGAGATCTGAGATTTATGCTCTTAACTACTTGCTTTGGTCTAAAGGAAAAACAAATATATATATTTTTTAAACATGTGATTACCCACAGTGAAACATTTAAGGGCAAGTTCCCAAAAGTCAACAAAACGTATCAATGACCCTGCTTCCTGAAAGTCCCTGTAGTGGTAACATTTAGCCTTTTCGGTGGCTGAGTGATGAAAACTTCAAACCTTGGTTTTAAACAAGAACTCTACATTTTGTAGCTTATTCCACATGCACAGTACAGACGCCTGAATAAAAAAGGGAAACAATTTTTAAACCTAATCAAGTCATGACCTTAACATCAAGAGTCTAATTGAATCATGACACCCCCACTACAAGTTTACTCTGGGTTGAAACTCTAATTTACAAGGAACACGGTTTGTTTTTCGATCAGATGTGCCTCTTACAATAGGTTGATGAAATTCTAGATTTTCTTTGTCAACAAATCTCATGAGCCAATTTCCGATGTTTCCTCACCTTGCTCTTATTTTTGAGTAATCCCAGATTAACATTCCTATCAATGTGTGTGAATCCACTGCTAAAAATAGTCCCACAGAGATGTCTTTTCCCTCATTCGATGCCAAGCTTAATTACAGCAACTGCATCGGTTTATGAGAAGTGACTGAGCCACTTTAATTACCAAATGATAAATGTGTGAGCCATATTAAATATCTAACCCTTACGTAGCAACCAGTGGCTCTCTTTTAGGTACAGTGATTTTAGTCTTTTCATGAAATCTGGTGACAAAAGACAGAAAAATAGAATAAACTCCAGCCTCATCCTTTACGTCTGTGTGGAATAATTCAGATATATTTGCAAAAACAAAAAAACACATTAATATAATAATCCAAAGAGTAGCCCTCAGATAACTGCAATAGAGCAAATCCTATTCAACAGATTTTCTTGGAAAAAAAAGGGACAAGTAATAAATAATGACAGATTTGTAAAAACAATAGTTGCTGTGGTGAAGGGTTAACACCTGAATTTCAAGTTAAATTGGACAATCGCACAGCTCTACGGCCGTCATGCTGGTTACTGTTTGGGCAGTTCAAACAGTAAGAAGCATTTCCGAGCTCAATCCGACCTTACGGCTGTTTGGACTCCTGTGAGGGGGCGTTCTCTGTCCAGGACTGGCTGTGGGTTTCCTGTGCCCTCAGAGGGCAGTGGTCTGACCTATGACAGCACAGCGTTGGAGTGTCGTATACCTATCAGGTTGTCTGCGCTGAAGGATCGTCTCATAGCGGCTCGACTCAGGTCCTTGTACTTGTCCTCGCAAAGTCTTGAAATGGCCTGGGCGGAGAAACACAAAAAGTGATAAAAAAAACAGCTGATAGACAAAGTATGTTGATCATTGTACTCTGCAGAAAGGACTGAAATGTATCAAATCAGCTCTTGTTTCAATAAAATGGAAATTTCTCCAGCAGAGATAAACAATCTATAAACTCTAAACGCCTGTGAAAATGAAATATGCCTCCATGCAGACATCGGAGTGCAGCAGGCTCTTCCCCAGGTTTTAAATGATATAGAATCATCATGACACAAATTGAAAGTCTGAGACGGCAGGCTCACCTCCAGTTTCTGGGCTCGCTGGTTGTTAAGAGGCTCCAGAGGGAAATTGAGGTTGTTGTCGTCAGCCAGCTGCCGAAGATCGAAGTAGTACTTGGCATACACACTGGCTGGCACGTTGATATTAAACTGCAAAAGTTCCAGAAAGTGGCGCTCCATCTCATTCCTGTATGAAGAAAAAAAACACACAATGGTTATTCCAGAACTGTAGTTTAAGGTCCGATTATTGCAGAATGATAACATCCTGATCCTGTTTAAACCTCACAACCCCTTTAGACCGTGGGATGCATTTGGATCAGACAACTGGGAACCTAAAGATTAACCAAAAACAGTAACATCTTTATTTCCTGGTGAATATTTGTTAAAGAAAAAGATGAAAAACATTGTTTATCATCTGGGATTTTTTAATTGTGTTTCTAGATTTGAACAATGGGAAGAGCTTTGAAGGAGGAATTACATCTCTTCCACAGGGATCTCTCTCTCTCTCTTTCACACACTTTTAGGTAATCAGACATGCAGAGTTAATCTTTTCCAGACTACAACCTCCATCATCATCATCGTCACCACAGCTAAGGGAGGTAGTCGCCACGGAGACAACATCTAGGATGCTTTGTTGGTCAGCAAAGGTGCTGAGAGTGAGCCTGAGTTTGAGTGTGTGTGATGTCTGGTCTCCCGGGGCAACTAATGGAGTGGGCGAGAGCCGGGGGCCATTATGTAGAGGCAGTGAGAGCACTTGAGACCCTCCCCTGCATTTCTCTCTCTCTCTCTCTCTCTCTCTCAGTCTGTTTCCCTCTCTACCCTCCATCCCTCCATCCAGACCCCACCCAGCTCACAAAGACACTTCAATGGCAGCAATGAAATCAGAGCAGAGAGAGTGCAGGTCAGACACATGAGAGAGGGAGAGGGAGGGGGGGGAGAGATGGGGGCTCATAGACAGAGAATAAGCATGCAGGCAGTGAACGCACCTTTCCAAATCACAAAAAGCAGGGAGGCACTTTCAACCTCTTTTACACACAAACACAAGCAACACAAACCCACACACAGGAAAAGCAATCGAAAGAAATAAAGCCTGGGCGCTCTAAGTGCAGCCCGTGGCCTCTTCATCAGCCTGAGCCAAAGATGCTACTGCTTCCATCTCTCCCAGCACTTCCCTTATTCCCTCTGCTTTAAGTGCATCCTTGTTGTTTCATGTCTTTTATAAGAGGGGCAGAATGTGGTGACAATCTTGTGAGCTCTGTTGTGTTGCATAGAATCTGCTTTTTCAATATCCTAAGTATCTGGAGGTCAGGAAACCTGAATATTAGAGGTGAAGCTAATTGAATTTCACCTTCATTATAAGCTCTCTGTATTGATCATCTTGTACTTGAACCTGTCAATGCACAGACTCTGAAGTTACAGTTTAGCTGACTTTAGCGTTGCTGCTGTTCCTGCAGAGCAAAACCACATCATCAGCACAGATGCAACATGGTCAACAAACTGGACTTTCAAAACAAGCTGCAGAGATTACAGACATAGACCTGGGTTATAAATGAACTGGATGTTTCCCACCAATGCAAAGACCTCTCAACCCACAAAGGCCCTCAAGTTCAGTAGGCGTTTCTTTGAACCTTTGTTGTCTGTGTCTTTCTCTTCTCCAACTAAAAACAAGGCTTTAACGTGTGCCAAAGGTGGAGATCTCATCCTGCTGGCCACCAATTTCAAATTCAGATTCAAAGGTCATGTATTGAGATATGCAGCTATGTTTCAGAGTGTTTGAACCAAAAACATCTAGAGAGGCAGAGGGGGCACGTAGTTTCCCTTATCTACTGATTTCAATGATGTTTGGATCAAGAGCAAGATCTTATTCTGATTCCTAGATTTGAAAGATTTGTATTGGGAGATTCTTCCAAGGTATAAGATATTACATATATCCTCAAAAATGTTGCCTGTCGGGGAATTGGTTGGTGCACGTGCCCCATGTAAGGAGGATGTAGTCCTCCAAGCAGGCGGACAGTTTTCTAATCCGACCTGTGGCTCTTTTCCCTGCATGTCATTCCCTGCTCTCTCTCCACTCGCTTTCTTTCTCCCTTCTTTCCGGCTCTATCCTTTCTCTCCAATGAAGACACAGTAAGAAAAAAAGATGTTGCCTGTCTATGTGATTGTATAAGACACACTAAGGGAAGGTTTCTAAACTCCATATCGTTTTCTCAAATATGACACTCAGTCCAAAGCATCTCCATTTACAATCGCCACAATCTTAATTTAAAATGAATGAAATCACAAAACTGTGGATTTCTTGCTCTCAAACAATATGCTAACCCACTACCAAGTATCACAAATTCTTGCAATGCCTCACACCACGGGAATCGACTTAGTCAGCAGTCTTTGGACTGTACGTATAATTAACTCACATGTCCTCCACTGTGATGTCTTTGAGGATCTGGCAGTAGTCTACGTTCCACACAGCTTGGTCATCCCAGACTTTGGAGGCCAACAAGATGGCTCCCAGGACGATGCGCTTCCAGTTAGAGGGGCAGATATCAAGCTCAGCGTAGGTCAGCAGGCGCTCCAAGTACACCTTGACAAGGAAGGACATTCAGTTTTTATTGTGGAAGATAGTGTGACAGATTTCACGAGTTGATTTCTCAATAATTCCCTTCTTTGTTTCCTGTATACAACCAGAAACAACAGTCAGGTATATGTACAATGAGTACTTTCACCAACCTGAGATAAATCCCCTATGCATGTCCAAGTTTAACAAATATTTGACTGAGTCACTAATGTTCCATCTAATTTATGTAGCACTGTTCTTTTCTTTTGGTGCCCTGTCTGAGGTGTATGCAATAGTTTTATTTCATTCACAGGTTCTTCAAAGTCAACAGTCGAATGCAGAATCTGCAGTGTGATCTTAACATACACACATAGCTATCAACTGTCATCTCTCAGGAGTTTACCGCCCCCTGGTGACCAGTTTATGGTAATACTGCTGCATCTTACTACATGAAACCTTGTTGTAACAACACACTACACACAGATTTGAAAACAGATCACAGCTAATGAAAGTGACATTGAACCAGCATAGGCCTCTAAACATCCTAACATAAATCACATTAATATACCAGAGTTTCTATAACTTATCATAAATTATCATTGAATTTAAAAGAATACATTGTTGTGATCTGGAGTGAACATGAGAGCACAATTAAGAGACAGACTTACTAGAGTGACAATGGCACATTCAGCAGTGAGCTGTGCGGCGCTGAACAGCGTTCTGACGAAGCGGTAGATCAGTTTGTGTTCTGGGTCAATACGACAGTACTCGTCTGGCACTGGCTCTCTCTGTGAGGAAACAAACAGTTTACACACACACACACACCTGATGAAATAGCTTTAACTTAAAACATTTGAATGAATCTACTTGGTCTCTATGAGTTAAATTTACTAATAATGTTGAATTATTTCATTTTCCAGTGCTCTCCAGTCTGCAATATTTGATGAATCTGAGTGGTACTTTAAAAAACACGCACTTGAAATCTTGTATGCGTTTTCCTGAACTTTCCACCTTGACCAGATCAATATGTAACTCTGACGCCTAGTGTTTAAAATGGGTACAGCGATCCAAATTGAAAACTTTGGAGAGCGATATCTGCCCCCGCCTCCAGGTCGGCAGTAAAGCATCACTCCTGACTTATTAGAACAAAGAGTTCAACTGAACGGAAACCAAATCAAATAAAAATAACAAGAGGAGAGGATGATAAAGACAGAACAAGTTATTTTAGTGAATCAAATCGATTTTATCGTTGCATAACAGACACTGCCCTTGATGTTTGGCTGTTTGCAGTAGGCTCTTGTGTGTTGTCAACAAACATACTAGGCGTTGTGTTCAAGGCTGGAGTTAATGGAAGAATGCACAGCTGATTTATTAGTGGAATTTATATTTTCTTAATCCAAGGCAACTCATTTATATAGAAACTGGACGATTTGTCTTTCAAATTAGAGCCCCGACAGACTGAAACAATCTGACCAATTCACTCCATTTCTTCTTTTCACCTCTTAAAGAAACCTCTCTTCAGTTAGATGACTATGGGTCAGTGTAGCTCTACACTTATTGAATATTAACTATTGTATGTATATTTGGATTTCGAGGTGGACTTGTGGGTGAGGGAATGTTTGTGTTGGGGAAGATTTCAGTGTATGTGTGATTGTTTCTGTTTGTGTAAGGAGCCCCTGGAAAACAAGATGTTATCCCTCATATAAATGTACTCATTTTAAATGAGTGACTGTTGCTGATTCGTGTAGACGCCCTCCTTTTTATACTCACTGATAAGGGGTGCAACTTCTCATCAAAAATGTCCAATGATTTGTCAGAATCCCTGAAGGACACAAAATATATTCATCAGTAAGCTTCTAAAATAGTTTCAGTAACATAATATGACACAGTATGTGGTGAAGATGTGATTCAAAATGCACACCTACCTGTTTTTGATGTGGTAGTATATTGCTAATGTGACACTGGAAAGAAAAACAAAGAAAAATGAGGGGAAAGAAAAACAGTTTTGGTGCTTTTTTGTCTTTCTGCTTCAATGAAAAGAACATAAACAACGTATTAGTTTCTGTCATTAACTGTGTTTCAGACTAAATGCTGTGAAAAACAATTGACATATTTTAAGAAGGGAAGCCCCGTATTAAACACAGGGTCATAAACCTGATGAAACGTGTCCAGATTCAGTGAAATGATGTCATTACAGAGGAGTGTCCTGAATTAGGAGGACATCTGTGTCAGTCACGAGTCCATTGAGTATTACTTCAGGATTACCACGCTGTGACCCAAGCGGATTTTCTCTTGTGAAATGATAGACTTTTTTTGGACAACACAGTATTGTGTATGTTTATCATTCTGCGGGTGAAAGTCTCACCATTTGATTGTGCTTTTGAGGTTTGGCTGGCTGACCGTGTTGTCGTCTATAAAGATGGTGGAACAGGAGCTGTACTTCTTTGACAAAGGACCCGGAGATACCTTTAGACATCAAAAAACACAATCAAAACACTTGATTCAAGGACAGGAGATAGCCTTGAATGCTGCATTTCTTAGACTGGTTTCTAACTTCTACATTTTTCCTCAGTCACTCATACTTTTCTGGTATTTTAAAATAATCCAATGTTATTTTAACTCTCCCCCCTCCCCACTGACTGTAGGCAGAGGCAATCACAGATTGCAGGCAGGATTAGAAACTATGATGAAATCATCCATTTGACAGAAAAAGAGGGGGTAAAAAGTAAAGGAAAGGCCCAAATATGGTAACAAGCCCCAAACCACATTAATGAGATGTCAGCTACATGTTGATGTTTGTTCTTGTCGTCTATGATGATATACTTGCTTCCATTTAACTTTTACCACTTAGTTTTAATCAAGGGTTTTAGTGCTCAATTATATCAATGAAAGATTAACCAGGACTACATTTTGACATTCCTGTTTTAATACAAAAATTAGCTACATAAAAAGGCATAAATTCAAACACCAAGTGCCAACAATCAGAGGCATATTAGTATCTTTAAAACCCTGTTCAGCTGCAGCGTAAATTCGCCTCCAGGTCAAGAAAAACAGAACAGCTTAGCACTTCAATCAGATTTATGAGCCATACTGAGATTGTGACACTTACGTGACTGATATGATTTATGTGGTTGCTTTTCCTCTTGTCTCGTACTGCAAAGGAAGAGAGATGTTTAGCAAACCAGCTAGAAGCAGGGATCAGCGTTCAGTTCATACTGTGATGCATCATTTTAAAGAAGTTAACACTCAGAACCCAAAGCAGTGTTTCATGTGAAAAGGTTTCCTTTGGTGCAGCTAAAAATACTCTTACAGCAGTCTGGTTATAATCAGTTATAGACTCTGTTGTTAGAGGTGCCTGTTTTTTCACTAATATTAAATCATGTAGAGCAGAATTAACACATCCAAGTCCTGAAAATGTATCTGTTCCAATATTTAAAAATCATGTGATATGAATGTGTCTTCTCTCCTATGCAAGACTACTGATGTGAATCACAGCTGTGTGCCTGTGTTTGTGTGTGTCATGTTAGGATTGCTCACCGTCTGTCTGGGACTTGCTAAGGAAGATGGTACTTGCTCGGGCATGGTCTGACGGGTTGGACTCCAAGGCCAGCTCTGATGATAATTAAAAAAAAAAAAAGAGTAAATAAGTAATAAAGACAAATAAAAACAAAAGGCACTTTGTATGTTACACTCTCACTCCTGAGTGATAAAACGAGAAAGAGAAAACTGGAAACCATCAGCTGACACATTATTCAAACACACTTTTAGAGCACCAAGTAAAGTGTAATCTGTGAAATGTGAGATAGTGGATTTATGCAAGAACCAATGTCACTCAAAAAAGAGCTAAAGATGTACACAGGAAGTAAAGGGGGCTGCAGTACCAATTTGACAGAGCAATAACAGATAACTATATTACCTTACAAACATATATCTTAAGATGTATTCAATCTTAACTCCTGTATTGAGATAATTATCATATGATGGGATTCCTGTCAATACACATCCATTCTAGAGAAGGAGATATAGAGTTTGTCTTGTTGACTCAAGAGAGTAGAAGACTAACTAATTGTGGGAATATTTATAGATAGGACTGTAAGTTCAAGCCATGTGTACAAGATAGGACTGAAGCTGTTTTCATGCATGCCAAAAACTCAAGAAATCGCCCAAATTTTCGAGGGGATCTGCATGTGTTAATGATAATGGCTTTTCTTATGAAGTCAGGTGACATGAAGGCAGCAGGAAACATTCAGAAAACTTCACTGCCAACATGCATGCAGGACCATTATATCACACAACCAGTAAGATCTTTGTGCACGTAATGAAGCTGCTTAATACCCTTTTCTGCTTGCTGGCATGTTCTGTTCCCCTCCTTCATTGAAGATATGAAGTGTCCAATTACATGTAGAATTGATAAAAAGGGCAAAAGCTGACATTATAGTTTGAGTCTCTGAAACGTCATCTCCTAGCTTGGTTTCCGCAGCATTTTTTTTACATCCTACCACCTGAGACCCTCCTACTGTCACACAGGGAAAACTATGCTGCAAGGGACCAACATGAATAAGAAACTCAGGAAGTTGGGGAGGCTTTCCTCTAGACATTTTCAGGAGTTTCAATGTGAAAACAGCTTAAAAGTGAAATTTACCATTACACAAAGACTGAACTGGTCTACATACTATTCTGAGAATTGTGTTCTTGATCTAAACCAGCGCAGACTGCACATTACATAAAGGACCGGGGATTAGGCAATGGCTGCATTTGTGAAGTGAAGACAGCGAGAAGAGACACAAGGAATGTAGAAAGGACTGCTGCACTGATTCTGAGCCTCACCCCGCCAACAGCTGGTCTCACCAAGCTGCACTCACACACTGATGACTGTCGCAAAACAACATGGATGGAATGAACACTGACTGTGCATGTCAGTAAGTCAATGAGGAGCGGTGACACTTGCAACTGAAAGTACAAAACTGAGCTTGGGCCTTCATCGCAGAGAAATATCTGAGATGCCTTCCCAATCAGGGGTCTGTATCACAGCATGGAGCACAGCATGAGAAGGAAAACTTTGACGGAGGGGGTCTGAAGAATCCACACTTTTGGCAGGTTTATTTACATTTTAAGCTCACTGTGTAACACAAGATGCAGTTTGATTGATATTTGTCTATTTATATGCGATTTCTTCCCCACCTTGCTTAAAACAAACCTGGAAATAAAAATAATATACAAGTGCTTGGTTAAAGCGCTAATATCTGAGGGGGTTAAAGTGGCGCCAAGGAGATAAGGGGTTTGTTTTTTTTGTTAATGTCTGACCCGGTAATGTGATACCAGCGTGTTCGAAATGAAGCAGTCCCCAACTAAAGAGTGCCAAGAATGTCACCATCATCCTCCACATCATCAGGCACTGCTGGCAGAGGGATGGGATGACAATGAACACGTCTGACGACTTGGCATGAGGGTGTCTGTCTGTATATTTATCTGCAGTCATGAAAGACAATACATCACCAAGCTATATGTTACATTAAAGATTGATTGGGTTGTAAATCCATAACAGTGGAGGGCAAAGTTGTGTCAACAGATATCATCGTCTGATATTATTTAAAACATAGAATCAGGTATTAGCCAATACACCTGATTTACTAGTATTATTTATTATCCTTGGTTAAAAAATAAACTTGTCATGGGAAAAAAAATATTTTACTATTACAGTAGCTTGGACAATGTATGCCAGACTGGTAAGTCAAGTCAACTTTATTAATATAGCACATTTATAACAGCCAAGGCGGACCAAAGTGCTTTACAGTAAATCAGGCAAAATGCATTACATCCAAAACATCATAAAGACACGTAAAAGCAAAAATTAAAAGTAAATGAAAACACAAAACAATAGTAAAAGTTCTAGTAGACACTGCTGCTGGTATAAAAAAATCAACTAGAGGTAAAAGCCAAGGAAAAGAAATGGGTTTTTAAAAATGACTTACTGCTGCTCAGTTGTGGCAGCAGATCTTATATTAAATGGTAATTTATTTAGTTATTAAGTGTCGGAGCTGCAACAGAAAAGGCTCGATCGCCCCTAGTTTTGAGCCTTGTTTTGGGCACGTCCAGGAGCAGCTGGTTGGAGGACCTTAGCGCTCTGGATGGAGCATGAACATGTAGTAGTTGACTTAGGTAATGAGGTGTTGAGCCATTTAATGATTTAAAAGCCAGAAGTAAAACTTTAAAATCAATCCAGTAGCGAACAGGAAGCCAGTGGAGAGAACGGAGCATGGTTATGTGGTCCCTCTTTTTTTGTGCCTGTTAGGAGGCGAGCAGCTGCATTTTAACTAACTACTATTCAAAGTAGTAGTTAAGTTAAGAATAACTTGGTGGAAAAAATCCTCTGGACAAGGAATTGTTAATTATTTCTAACTTAATTTGAACAAAAGAAAGTAAAAATAATGCACTGTCTGTATTTTTCTGTTCAGCAATTGGTTTAATCTGACCCATGACATCATACCCATGTAAAGCAAGTAGTACTGGTTGTTGCCACTGGTATGGGATAGGTACTGTTTCTGCAACTTTGCAAAATCAGATGTCAATATAGCAATCAGAAAGGATATGCACTGCACATGTTAAATTTACAAATTATCCCAGCACTCAAGTTCACATAATTTGGCTGTCTACTCGCCGTTATATTGCATAGTTTCTGCTTATTATATGTCTACACGAGGGATGGGCAACTTCGGTCACAGCAAGGGCCACATTCATTTAATTCTCACCGCCAGAGGGCCAAATTGTAGTATACAAAAACACAGTCAATTATGCCTCAAATTTAACTCAACATATACCAGTGATCAAATATTATTATGGACATATTTCTGGTTTTCATGATTTCATGGCTGATTTTGTCATGTTTTCTTCATGTTTCAAATTACTTGATATGTAAAAACTGACTTGAGGGCCACGTTGAGAGTTGATGGGGGCCGCATGTGGCCCCCGGGGCCGCCAGTTGCCCACCCCTGATCTACACTCATGCACTTTAACTTACTGTCCATTTACAACTCTGTTTTTGCACATTTACATTAAATCTATCAATACTATGAATACTTCCATGTTCAATCTTCCTATTTAAGACTAGTAATGCTTAGTTAAATCCTGGTTGTATATATTCACATAGTTTTCTTAGTTTTGATATTTTTAGTGCTTATTTACTTTGTATTTGATAATATATTGTGTTTTTTTACTCATATTGTGTGTTGATAAACTGCTGCTGTAACGCCACAATTTCCCAGTTTGGGATCAATAAAGTAATTATATTATATTATATTATATAAACGGTAGTTCTAGTTGAGTGATACTGTATACTAAATAGATTTGTGTTCTTGGGGGTCATATGGAGGATAACTACTGAGGTGTCTGCATTAACATCAAAACGACCCTCCCTATAAACAAACAATAAGGGTGTGACTCTGCACGAATACAATAAAGAAAAAAAACAAGTTTAAGCCATTTACGCAATGCAATTCTGACGTACCATCGGGGACCTCTCTGTCGCTGATGTGCTGCAGGTAGGGCACGGTGTTATCATCGCTCACTTCGGTGCTGGTCTGGAACTCCTCCAGCCGCTCTGCCGGTTGTCTCGACGGCAGCTTGGGGCTCGACTCGGGGGACACGCAGCATGACACCGTATTCCCCATTCCCAAAAAAAAAAGCTATCACACTGTAGCAGCCAAATCTCAAGTAGTGCCAACAAAAATATATAATTGTAGCTTCAGCTAAAGTTCGCTTCCCTCAAACCTCATTAACATCACCAGGCTGCGGTCAGTATTAGCACAACACTAAAAGGCTAAACCGCCGCTGTCCACCTTCTCCCAGGAGCCGCATTCCTGTCCATTTGAGGGAAGCAGTCGAACAAGAGTAAGCCAAATAGGCTCAACCTCTTGTTAGATTTGAAATAATTGCGTTATTTTTTGCAATAACGAGGCGTTTTTACTGAGATACCGGCGGCTGCCTTCTCGTTCATTCATTCAAAAAATCCTGGAGTTCCGCTAACTAGCACCGTTCAGAGCTAGGTGGCTATGCAGTTAGCACGTCTCATAACTTTATTTCTGCTCGATATTAATTCAATTTTTGGCTGTCGGGTTAATTCAACGGACTGTAGAAAATACAAATGTCAAGATTTTAAATCGAGAAATAAGGGCAAATACGTTCCGCGAGACTTTCCAAACAATCCCATAGACGTCTTCGTACACTCGGATGGGTGTTGCTGCCAAATCTAGCCCGAGGCTTCTGCGGCCTCCAGGAAGAATCCCAAGGTTTAAAGGGTTGGGGGGGAAGAAATCCCAAGTCTGTAAACCGGAATTTCTCAGTCAGAACAAGTTGGCGAGGCCTTGTCTCTTTTCCTTATAAGTCAGCCCACCCCTAGAAGTTAGTCCGGACTCCCCCCCATCAGTGCTTCCACCCCCGTCAATTCGTGCTGGACGTCGTCCCAGCCACAGCCGCCATCTGTTGCCGGATCTCACAAACGGTACTACTTGGGAAAAAGGATATACTGTGGACCCGCCCCTTCTGAAATTCCATTCACTCCTATTGGCTAAGACTTCAAAACAGTTCATTATACAGCCGCACATTGGTTGACAGAGCTGTCTGTTGAGGGCGATTTAAACCGATGAAATGTATTTACAACGCTACTATTTTGGTATCGTCCCGGTTCCACACCCTTTTTTGACAGTGAAATCTGAAGGCCATCCTCTATTGCATTATCCACCTGTCAATCAACGCATCCCTCCTCATGCAAGCAAAGGAAGAGGGAGTGAACGGTTTAAGAAATTACTTATCAACAAATATATTCCATATTTTGGAAAATTCTCAAATATTTCATATTCAATATTTATGATATTGGTCCATTACAAACAGACCACAATTATTTATCTTATTTCAAATACAGTTTTCACAAGTATTCATCCTGGAACTGTAGTAAAATCAATTTCGGAATAGATGTAATAAGCAACTAAAAACTCTGAATACATTATCTCAAGTCCAATACTTAGGTGTAATATTGAGGTTTTCTGGGGATAGTAATGGGCTTTTAACTTAAATATATCCTCATTTTACAAAATGTATTTAATGGAGGACCAAGTTTGAAATAGTTATAGTGCATTCCTTACATTTTGTAAGTAGTACAGCTAATTTGCAAATACAGATTTAAAAAACAAAAACATACACTCAATTTATATAATATGACGGATTGCATAGTTTTATATTTCACTTCCCAAGTCATATATCAAACATTTTTAATTAACTTACAATAAAATGCATAACAGTCTTCAAGAGCATTTTATTGCAACATAGTATAGTGTTTACAAAAGTGTAATGTCAGAGAACAGCACGTTAACATAATGAGCTGGTAGAGTTTTATAACATGACAATGTCCAAACTAAAATCATCATTTGGTGACTTGTTCTCTACAAGACATTATACAATACATGATTCACGTGTAAAAGTGTCAAATATAAACAGATCACATTAAAAGTTAGAAAAAAGTCATTATTACTGTTCTAGAAATAATACATATATATATATATATATATATATTTATATATACTTTTACACACATGGATAACAATCTGTTTCATGCACAAATGAGGCCCTTAGGGTATAAACTATCATGGCACAGAAATGAAAACACCTTTGTTTTTTGATGAAAGGTTATTGTAAACACATCACAAAGTTGAGCTCACTATATCAAATCAACAAAAAGATAATTCATATTTTATTCAGCACCATCTCTTGATGTGTAAATTACAGGAGGTGGCCATGATAACCCTCCCTGCCCCACCCCCACCCTCCGTGAACAATTTATCAATATGGCACCAAGTTCAGAGAGTTTTCATGCCTATCAGTGGGATCATATTCAGACTTCAGTCCATTCCTTAAAATGTATTAAAAGTAAATAAACTTTGCATTTTGTGTCAAAGATCCCTCTCCATCACTCCGAAACAGTTCAACATGTCCGACCCCAGCAGACACGACTGTGCTCTGGGTTATTATTTAAAGTCTTTGAGGTGCTGTGCAGTATGCTTTGTGTAACTAATTCAACCCCTTTAAACTCTATACATTACAAATAGAAACTGTACAATATCAAAATGTTTGAAATTTTGAAAAAAAAATGTCAGCGCTACAGTGAACACATGATATTTTTTAAAACCCCTACAAAATGAACATTTTGTTGAAGACATCCTATTTATCCGAGTGAATGCCCACATTTGTTTTTTAGAAAGAAAGAAAAAGACTTTGGTCGAGCTTTGAGTAACATACATGCATTTAAAAAGTCAAATAAATGCAGTGAAAGTCAAATCAAATAAACATAGAGTGGGCTCTAGTGGGAATTGTGCTTTCATTTGATTATTCCAAGGGAGTTAAAACACCTTCATGACATTAAAATAAATGTAGATAAAATATATTCACGTGTGGAGGAAGATATCGGGAAATGTGACATTTTGGAATAAACTAAATTGTTAATTATAAAATAGTTATATTTTGTGGATCCTCGCTGCTCTCAACAGACTCGTTCTTCTCTACAAACAAACAGTGTCAATCCAAACACAGAGCACAGCACTCCAAAACATTACACCTCCAACAAAGGCCTCTTCTCATACACTTAGCTGCCATGACGGTTGTAGGCCTGATGGATTACATGAATATACACTCCCAGAATCTTCTATATTTATATACATGAATGTATATTACAAATATTCAAAGTTGGTTTGATACAAGTCATACAAACATTTTTCATATCAAATAAACAGAAACTGAGGTCTAAACATGCTGTAGAGTCTATATACAGTTATACTGTATTAAAAAAAATAAACAGACTAATAGGTACATGTATCCTCTCAGAAAACCCAACTCAAACTTTTTTCAACACATCTCTCTGGATCTTTAGTGTTCATCTCATATCTTTTGTAGCTTTCACAAAGAATCCAACCTGCTACATATTAAAAAACAACCCTGCAATCTTCTTGTGTCTCTTTTTTTTTTTTTACCACCGCTTAACAGACAGAGCAAAACATACAGAATATATTAAAACACTTAAAAAACGAAACGTCATGAAAACTGAGATTTTACCGTGACACAATGAGATGATGATTGACCTCAATGGAACACTTGTTTAAATAAGAAAACATGTAGATCTCTGGTTTTAGGATTGCTCAATAAATGTGTGCGTTTGTACAACCTGGAGCTTCTTATCTATCCTTTCAGAAAACACTCTCCTCTGTTATGAGACGTTTTCCACACTCAGTTTGCTAACATTTTTTGGGTTGTTGCAACAGAAAAATGAAATCTTAACAGTCAGATTTTTTTTAACTTACTGAAATAAAACACCTTGTTTCAACACCTGGCTAGAACTAAAAAAGTGAGTAAAACGTCGCCTTAACTTGAGAAAATATTTGATACCGATGCATCGGCCGATATCCTTCTTTGATGCATGTTGGAGCTTTACAGATAGATAAACATAGATATACACGTTAATGCAGTTATCTAACACTTGCGTAAAAGATATATAATAATACAAAGATGGTCACTCAACTGGAAAGTAACTGTGCATGTATGTGCATCACTGCTTGACTCTCTGGAGAGTGATAATGCTTGCTGTAATTCGTATAGCACACTCTGCTGGGGGAAAAGAACTGCTTGTGTAATACAATGAATCTCAAATGAAATGCTTTATGACTGGTGAGCAAATCTAGAAATATTGGCACGTATCTGTGATAAAATTAGCCGATAGTGACAGGATAAGCTCATATCGGCCGAAATTATTGGCTGGTCGATAAATCGGTCGGGCTCTAGCTATAACTAACAGGAATGTTGGACAGATTTTTAAAATGTGGCTCCAGGTTGTAAAAAAATAATCAAAGTTATAATAATGATCTCTTCTTTTAAAGCATGTCCTCACCCTACTAATAATTTCAATCTAAAAAAAGACCTCTGACAACCATCAGTAGTCGAGAAGCAGAAAAGCTTAAACCAAAATATGATGTCACACTAAAGTACGTCCTATCTCTGTTGACAAACATGGTGTCACTTTCTTTAAGGTTGGCAGTTGGTAGCATCTATAAAAACACTTAGACAAGATGTGCCACATTGTATTTTCATCCATAATTCATTCTGAGGCTTTAACTGCAGCTGGCTGAGCTCCTCTAATAATGAAACCAGAGCTTTAGCTGAGGAACAGATTGTGTAAGGAAAAAAACAAAACATCATTAGTGATTAGTCAATATAAAAGAAGTCCTTAGTGGACATGCATACGTGTTATTCACTCCATTTCCCAGTGATGAGTATTTGTTTTCTTGACATCTTGACTAAGTCGTCATGATCTTGAGATCACAAAGCAGCTTTTCCTGTGATAATGTGACAGTTTTCTTACAACCTAAATAAAACAAAAGGCTAGTTGTCACTGTGGCAAGCCAGACCACAACATGCAATGCTGCCACTGCCCTCACAACTGAGGTAATTGAATCCTAGTCCTACTGTATGTTTGTTTTGTGCTTTTGAACACTGGTGGTATGACATAAATGTGAAGCGATTCCAAGAAAACAACCGGAAATGACTCGTCATCACAAGAAAACCGCATGAATCATATGTATGGATGCATGTTCGATCAGGGCTTCTGTAGGATTCAGCGATATAAATAATTAATGTTCTTTCTCACAAGCTGAGTCTTGTTGTCATAGTTTCAGCTCACTCATTCACTATACTGGGATCCTCGTTGAAACTGTTACATTTATATTAGGCAGGTGTCCATACAATTAGGACACCTTAAAAGAAGTTCTGGTCCACAGTTTAACATCTGTTCTAAAAAAAAGGAGCGCAAGGTAAAGGGAGTTGCATGTAACCATGGCAACAATGATGATGTTCCAGGGACAACTCGTCGGCCATGACTGTTTGTAAAGTAAACAAGAATGCTCAGCTGAACTCCAGTAAAGGCCGATCAAATATTTAGCATCCCTGCAACAGTTGTAATGTGTAAACAGTCACATATCTTCTATCATCCATCCATCCATTATCTATACCGCTTTTTCCCGTTTGGGGTCGCGCTGGGCTGGAGCAGATCCCAGCTGCCACTGGGCGAGAGGTGGAGTACACCATGGACTGTTTGCCAGTCAATCAGACACCCTCACATTCAACCTAAAGAGCACGTCTTTGGACTGTGGGAGGACGCTGGAGTACCTACACATGCACAGGGAGACCATGCAAACTCCACACAGAGAGGCTCCTGTCTGACAGGGGAATCGAACCAGGAACCTCCCTGCAACAGCGCTAACCACTGTACCACCGTGCAGCCCTATCTTATATAAGTATCAGCCAGATCTACAACAATAAGACGCAGGCTTGTGACTGGAGGTGTGTGAGGCAGCAGTTGCCCTCAGCTAATTTGATCTGTTGAATAAGGTTGCACATGATTGAACTCATGTTTTTAGACTTTACATTTTCAGGTAGCACTTTGCTCAATGGATTGATATTTTCCAGAGTTCTCTTTGGATAGATATTGCGTATTTTCTCAAATTATCCTCATACTGGCAAGCGTACCGAAGAGAAAAGAGTGCAAGCAGAACTGGATTAGATGGACTTTTGTCAAAAACAAGCCAGTCATGTGCAAACTGGAAGGCCAGGCCGGCAGAATCAAACAGTCGAAGTATTTGAAGAAACTTAAGTGCTACTTAGCCCAGCTCGCTGTTCTGGAGACTGGAGCTACTCAGATTTATGGCAGTAAAGGTCTTTAAGGGCTTTCAGTTCTTCGATTAGTGTCTTGTTTTGGTTCTCCAGGACGGCCACTCGGTTCTCCAGACACTTAACATACTCCTTCTTCTTCCTGCGACATTCACGGGCTGCCTCTCTGTAGGAAGAATAACACCATACGACTTTTTTGGGAGGCTAATGGAATACTTTCCTGCAATATTCCTATAATAAGTAGAATAAATCCTTCGAATTAATGTCCAATATTTTCCTACAGTCTGATTTGTGATCCCTGACACAAAGGCATCTTTTTAGATATTATAAATGGGATGAAATATACATTCTGTTCGAACCTGTTTTTCATGAGGCGAACTTCTCTTTTGCGGGTGACTTCCTCAGTAGCGCCCTGGGTGGGGAGGGCAGGGGATGAGGCCATGACCACCCCCGGGGCGATGGTGCTGGCAGGGGCTGCTCGGATCTGGTAGGCCTGAACGTCACCGGAGGCGGCTGGATGTTTAAATGGCAGAAGTGGACATTTTAATCAGTTAATTAGTGGATTTAATCCCTGATTTTAGAAAAAGTAAATTTGGATCCGTAGTTTGTTTGCTGACTGAGAATAAAAACATAAAATATTCAAACGTTTCCTCCAAGATTATGAGGAGTTTGTAGAGAAAGTTGGAGATATTTTATGCGATTTATTTGATCACTTTCGAAGAATTTTAGATGAGTCAAGCCAACGCTCACCTTGGACAACCACCTGGTTACTGGGCACCAGTATCTGTTGGCCGTCGCTGGTCTGTGCGTACTGGAGGATGGTGGCTCCAGGCTGAGCTGCTGCTGCGTTGGTCATAGTCAGAGTCTGGATACCCTGGACTCCATCTGTACCGTTATTAGCCAGCTGAATGGCCCCACCCTGTGTGATTGCAACTGTGTGTTTGGTGGGAGGTGCAGATGGTCAGAGGGGAAAAGAGAAAACAAAGGAAAGGATAATACTCAGTAAAATAACGTTTTTTTATTCATATGATGCATTGTTCATAATTATTTTTTACTTGGGGAAGGAGCTTATTCGATGGGTTATAAGACAATAAATAATGTTCTCCGGCTCTGCTCATAAAGTCATTATAAAGAAATACTTTCATTCAACTTTTGTTAAGGTGTATTCTACAGCTTTAACTGTAGTGATAAAACTACATCACCCTCTTGCAGCCACAGGTACTGCGCCATTGATCAACTGTCACTTACTGTACTGTCCGGTGCTGGTCTGGTAGATGGGTGTGGGGACAGTAACCGTGGTGATTGAAGGCGTGGCAGCCGCAGCAGATGAATCCTCCTCGGCCTTTTCCTCCTCGATACGAGCGACCGCCGGAGCATCACTCGAAAGGTCATTCAGAATTTTTCTGTTGGGGGAAAAAACAAATATGGATGTTTGCTTTATAATAACTTCCAATTACATTCAGCTATCTGTAATGCAGCTATTGATGATCCTTTCTATACCACATAAATACCACACAAGTTTTTGGCTTTGACAGAAAAATTTGAATCCCTGGATTTTAGATTGAGCTTGAAAAATGTGCTTTGTTGCTCATGTCAGAATAAAAAAGGTTATTTTTATTGAATGTAACTCAAAAAATGTTCTAGTAATAGGAAGTAAAGAGCAGAATATGTGAATAATAACCCGGATAATGTACCCTAAAGGCAACAGGTACAACAAGAGTTCATGTCTGCACTGCTTAGTAGAATGAAAATATTTCATGAAGTTATGGGACATAATGGTTTACTGGCGGGCAAACAGACACACTGAAATAAATGACCTGTATGAAGGGCGTCTGGAAAGAATCTCTCTGCGCTTCTGAGAGTCAGTCACACTGTCTACTGACTCCTGTGAGTCCTCACTCTCTGCTATTGTGGAGATCTGCAACAAAGGAAGAAAGAAATGCATCAATCAAGCATTTACTTTCATTCTTTAAAACCGGTTTGATATAAAACACCGGGCACCGGCATTGTGTGTGTACGTGTGTGTGTACAAGTGTTACCTGTACAGTCTGGACTTGCGGGGACTGGATAACAGACGGCTGTGCAGCCTGGATGACTCCGTGGACCTGAACCGTCTGTCCGTTTGGTAGCTGAACCAGCGTTACAGTGGGACCTGTTGCTGAGGCGTGGCCTGTTGCCATGGTAACCTGAAATTCAGAAGTGATGAGACCTTACCGTCAGCCTTGTGCAATTCAACATGAACTCCTTTTTAAACCTTTTATGACTTTAAAAAGACTTTAAAAACAGCTGGACTTCCTAAACTCAGTAGTGATGTCATCGTCATCCTCTGCTGTTACCTGTGCCAAGGTAGCAATCTGTGCAGGAGTGATCTGCTGGATCTCTGTCTCAGTCACAGCAGTCTCTGCCCCCTGCTGAGCCTCCACTGCTGACTCCATCTTCATTGGTTAGGCTTTAACTAAAAAAATAGAGACAAGCGGTTAGTTTTTATGGAGCTGCAGCCACAGCATCAACATCAATGTGGTGTCAGGGTGCCCAGTGGTCTGTGAGCTGCACCCTCAGGAAACCATGCACGCTAAAGAACACATACAAGTTAACGTGCAAGAAAAATAAATTGCATTACACAAACCACATGCAAAGTTAGCTTGAGGAAACACAACATCATCCTTATTTTGTATGATTTATCTGAATGATATTACACTATAAGTACAGTACTTGATAAAATGTATGTTATTATTTTTGGTTTGTACTTCATAATAAACAGCAGATGTGTGTGCATGATGTGCAGCCTGCAGGCAACATGACACCTGCTGCTCATGTTTGATAGTTGGTAACACATTGGAGTTCTCTCTGTTTGGGACTACTGCATTTAAGGTTTAGTTATCCACAGCACCAGTTTTAAATGTCTTCAGGTCTTAATTAAGAGGCCCTAAAGGGGATAAGTGCGGAAATAAAAAACAACTTTCTGGTGCTCACAATAAACTATCTCGTGCCAACAGGCACTAATCTGATGCTCCCAAGGAAGTTATCCATGTACACGAGAATATGCAAATGCAATATTTATTCCAGAACCAGAAAGTATCTAGTATGCCGCAAATTCCCTCTTGTGCTAACAAGATAGTATCTTGTTAGAAAGAGCTTTTTTTCTCTGCAGTTGTCGTTCCCTTCTGGCTCCGTAGGACTTGGGTCAAGTTTTGTTTTCCTAGCCTCAAATGACCAAGTATGTGCCTTCAGTCTAAAAATGAGGATACTCCCCCTGAAGCTCATAAATGAGTCACTATTGAGAAACATATGTTGCTCCTCTTCTTCTGAACATTAGTACGATTTAAAAACTTTGGTACTGACTTGAAAACGTGTGGGAGACTTAATGTGTCTATAACATCTGCATGTGTTCATGATGATTTATGAGGTGAAGCAATTTAAAAAATCTTTTAACTTGGTGACAGACTGAGCCTGATGAAAGAGAGAGTGAAGATGTTTATCTGATGTATTTGTTGTTGAATGATATTCATATATATGTGATATGATATGATATGAATCATATTTAAAGCAGTATCATACCCTAATGAAATATAAACAGTAACAGGTAGAGGTGTAACGATTAGTTACGAAGTAGTATCGCGATATTTTGCGTTGTGAAATGATATCGATTCATGGCCGCCAAGTATCAATATTTTTATTATATTAATAGCAAACATGCTTTTTTAAAATCACAATTTGTTCAATTATACTGTCGTCCATACATGTTTGTGTTCAGTTAAACTGGATTAGACTGAAATACCAACTGATTGTGAGGTGCATGCAGGTTTGTTCACAGTGATGGTCTGTCTGAGGGCTCGACTTCCGTTGTGTAGTAATAGCAAACATGCTTTTTTAAAATCACAATTTGTTCAATTATACTGTCGTCCATACATGTTTGTGTTCAGTTAAACTGGATTAGACTGAAATACCAACTGATTGTGAGGTGCATGCAGGTTTGTTCACAGTGATGGTCTGTCTGAGGGCTCGACTTCCGTTGTGTAGAGATGAGAAGACTGAAGTGAGATGAAGAGACTGAGAATTGTTTCTGATTTGACAAAACAGTTCTTGATTTAGTTTAATTTGCGCGTACTTAATATGCAGTGGAATAAAAAGTTAAATCGCAATATATCGTATGGCAATTCTCAGCATCTCGTGCAATGAGTTTAAAATCACGATGATATTCAAGTATCGTGATGATATGGTATCGTGGGGCCTCGCCCCTATTAGAAGGTCTGACACTGGTACTTCAATCTGTGTTTGCACCTCCTCTGGACGTATCGTGAAAACTGTACTACACAAACTGCAGCTCCTGCAGCTGTTTCACCGTTGCACTTTAAAAATAAATGTTTTTTTTGGTTTTTATTTATTTTGTTTCTACCAACTTTCTTGACAATAGAAATAGGGACATTTAAATTCAATTTCTATGTTCTTGGTAAACGCACCAAAACACCTGGATACATTCTTGATATGTGTGAACCATAGACTGTAAAAATAATTGAAGATATGTTGATTTTAAGAAATCCAAGAAACAAAATCAAAGGAGAGGAACATCTTTATGATTTGCTGTTTTTTTTTTTTTTTTAATGAGTTCAGATGATGAAACTGTAACAATGATACAACACTGATTCAACACAAGCTCTCTACACACAAGACAGACATGTTTACTTGATGAAGATTTAGATTTGGATCTGATCCCTGTCTTGTCTGACTTTCGGCGGTGACAGTCTGAGAGTTGATCTGTGCCGTGTTGTTCACAGTGATCTCACACTGTGCGTAGCTTCTCTCCGCTGCATGATTGGCTTTACACATTTCTCCCTCTGCTTTTCAAAAAATCACTCGGATGCTCCGTGTGTGTGTGTGCGCGAATGTGTGTGTGTGTGTGTGTGTGTGACAGCACAGCCACATGGCCGGGCAACGCCCCCTCAGAGCAGGACCGGTCACATCCCAGGAGATAAAGATTTAAAAAAAAAAAAACCTGAATGTAACAGATGCATAAACAAAACGAGTGCTACACTTAAAGGCCTCCTCAAGTCATGTTTTCATCGTGTAACAAAACGCTTAGGCCTGCAATGGCCGTTTTCTATCCATGCGAAAATGAATGGAGAATGCCAACACGATATTTTATACACAAGTGAGGGGTTATTATAAGCAGATTCTAAATAAAAAATAAATCTAATGGGAAGAAAAAAAAGTTAAACTCAGCGAAGCAAGTAGCCTGATATAAATAACTCAACATATCGCTGTTGTTGTTTTCAATTCACCGTTTAAGAAGGAAAAAAAAAAAAACGGCGCATATCTGTGCGCGTAAACATCGACTGATAATGTGACAGCTGAGAGAATTAAAAAAACAACAACATCTTGACACATCATCTGATCTGAAAACCCGCTGATCGTGCCTCCTGGTTCACTATAAAAGCCACACATTTTCGCTGTGTTTCTCCCAAACAGCCGCAGACTCCCCTCCCTCCATCCTGCTACAAACACACAGCGGCGCCATGATCTCTTTGTTTCCTTCGGGCCGAACCCGACCAGACCGACACTTTCTACGGCTTCGTGTCGTCACTCTGAGCCCCGGACAACGCGCCGTCCTTACCGATACGGGCTCCTTTCGTCACTCCCCGGGCCTTCGGAGCTCCACTTTTTATTCTGGCCGACACGTAAGAGCCCGCGTCAGGCTACACCTCCGCCGCGTCACCGGGAACAACAACACGGAGATTGGAGAAGGACGAGAAAGCAGATGGCGACACTGGGCGGAAATACCCGAGGTGCGAACGAAGAGCAGCGGGGATTGCCGAGGATGAGCGGAAGGTAACGATTCCCCGCTGCCTCGTTAGAGTCTGACGAAATGACCACATTTTACTGTAAGCAGTTTAAAATAGTTATATAACAAGGGAAACAACCTCAATATGAAAGCTGCATATAGTTTGCTTTTTTTTGTTATTTAAAGGGGCGTTTGTCTCTCTCTTAATGTAGGCTTGAGTGACTTAAGTAGGAAATTATAACTAAGAAATTGCACAATTTACAGTGAGGTATGTTTTTGTCTAGTGTAACCCTGACATTGTTTTTGGAAATACTTTTTTTTCAATCACTTTTGATTTGGGTGTACTAGCTGTAGGCCTAATACAAGACCATGGTACTTGTTTGAGGCCCATCTGAGTTATTACTCAAAACTTTACCTCAATCTTGATAGGCCTTTGTGTTTTTAACTGATTTGATTTCTTTAATGTGTACTGAATAGGCATATGCAAGGTTTTAAACATGAGCTCACAAGACACCGTTATTGAAAACACCATAAATTAGTCACATAAAAATAACTTGCCATTCTTTACATATCCTGAAATATTTCTCATGCTGGTTTGCTTGGATAACATCAGAGCACAGGACTACAAACTCAAAGAGGATGGTAAAATCTGCTCCAAAGGTACAGGACATGTACACTACCCACTGCAGGCATTACACATCCTACAGGACTCTCCCAATCCAGACTGAAAGACTGATTTTATTCCCACCAGGCTTCCAAAGAGTAGCACTTAGTGTCTGTGTCTCTTTAAGAAAAAGCTTTCTTTTACAATTATGCTGCCTTTTTTTCAAATGATTTATTTAGTTATCTATTTATTTATACATTTCATATCATTGACTGTACAGTTTACTTTTTAATGTATAGGAAGAACAAGTTGAATATCATTAAAGTGGCTGACATAAAGTATGTGCGTAAGACATTGGAGCACTACATAAGTTCAGTTCTACAAGTTGTTCAGTTTAAACCCAAATAAGTGCAATCAATAAAGAGCCCTCCCTGATCTATTGGAAGGTGTAATAATATATATCGACTCAACTTCGACTTTATTTGTCCCTGAAGGGCGATTGGTTTTGCGGGCAGAACAAGACAGTAAAAAGACAAAAGTACATCCAAAAAGCCAACACGGTAAAAATGCCAGAGGCACTGAATATATCAGCCTTCGAGAAACAACCGAGATCATTGATTGAGGCTCTTAGCAGCCTCCATTAAAAAAAAAAGAGCTGAGTCAACATGAATTATAAACAGCTGACTGTTAAATATAAATCACTAACAGGTAAAAAAACTTTTTTTTCAAGTCCCATTCCTGAATGTGAATATTGCTGTGTTTTTAAACCAACACATAGTTGTAATAGAACATTTTTTAAAGTATATCATGGTGGGAAAGCAGGTGTATTTAAATCAATGATTGATGAATTCCATTTCGATCGATAGATAGGTAGATAGCTGATTCAGATTCAGCGATGGTTTTGTTTATTCTTGGCGGGTTCATTGTCACTTTTGCCCAGAGAACAGATTCACTGGGTGTGAAAACCAAAACGTTTGTTGTGAGAGGATTCTTTTGGGGAATCAATTCTCATACTTACCAACGGAGGGAGCCATAAGACCTTTTTTTTTTATACATTCAGAAGGGATCTGCAGGTAGAGCAAAACACATATTAGGCTGCCGAACATAATGAATCGAATTTTAAAAAGAAATGCTGCACATTTACAGTGGCTAACAACACATTGTTAAGCTTCATTATCTGCCCTGCATCAGTGAGATATTTCATTTGACCACATTATTGCGATTATTTCTGTTTCTTTATTTCCACTGGAATCATGGGATTGACTAATGAGCGTCCTTAAATTAGGATATATAGTACTGCACACTTAAATGTGTTTCTTGAGCTTTATGTCCTCAGATTTCTTTTCCACATTGTTTTGAAAATTATTTTTCAAGATCATGCATGCAAGGTTTCTCCTTCAAAACATGACTATGAATGAAAAAGTAAACATTATATTTGTGGAAGTGACACAGTTGCCATATTTAAGGACACAAATACACACTTGAGTCCTTCTCTATCTTTGTTTTGAAAATTATTTTTCAAGATCATGCATGCAAGGTTTCTCCTTCAAAACATGACTATGAATGAAAAAGTAAACATTATATTTGTGGAAGTGACACAGTTGCCATATTTAAGGACACAAATACACACTTGAGTCCTTCTCTATCTCATCACCACACCTTCTTTTGACACATTACTGTGCTGCAGAAACACTACCTGACGCACCATGAAAGGAAATCTACAACAAGCTTTCACCGACTCTGAAAAAATCAATCCATTATGTAAGTCATGAAAATGTTGACGCTTTTACAGTTGAGGAACAAAAAAGTTTTCATTTTGATTTTGGATTGTTGTTGTTTGATGTCTGTCTTCTCACGCTTTCCATAATTAGAAACATTTAAAAAAAAAATTACATGTAATTATACAGGATCTACTTTTTGTCTTTCCAGGA